CGAAATGACTCACGAGTATGGAGTAGCGAGAATCATTTGTATCACTTTGCCGGTAAGCGGGCAATCCACAAACCTGTCAGCGAGCTTAACGAGTCGTTATCAAGAGACTCATCGGATATCCTTCTGCGCCCGAGCTAAGTGCCGTCGCTTTCTGTTTTATCACACGTGCGGAAAATCGCTAATCCAAACGGCCGAGGAAAATAAAAATCTCCGCGACGGAAACCTCCCATTCGGTACGTCGCGAATTTCGCACAATGGCACGAAATTACTTGTGTTTTATAGCGCGTTCCATTGATGCAGCGCAGTATAATAGCGCGGATAAATTGTTATTTTTAGGAATTTTATTTCTGAACCTCTCGCGCAGATTGGCGATTTTGTCCGCGCGAGCACTGAAGAATTTCGCATAAAAACTCTTTGTCCCCGTCGAACGTGTCAACGACATAAAACTCTGTTTATCATCGAAATAAATTTTCAATCAATTCATGTATTAGGTGTTCCAATTGGTTATTTGCAAAAAAACAAAAAAAAAGTCTGTTTTGTAGAGACGTTAAATTATATTTTAATCAAAATATTTCCCATCGCTAGCTACAACTTTTTCCCAATTTTTTGGCAATAAATGAATTCCTCGATAAAAAAAAATTCGTCCTTCGAAGCAATTCATTTATCGAGCCATTATTTTATATCTTCATATGTTTTTAAGTGCTGGTCAGCAAGGCCGTGCCGCATCGATCGAAATAAGTGATAATCTGAAGGAGTACAGTCTGGTAAATACGCAGCGTGTGGTAAGACTTCTCATTGAAGTACCAATAACGTATCTTCAACTGCTTTTGCAACGTATGGTCGTGCGTTGTTGTGCAAAAAGAATCACTTTGCATTTTCTCTGAGATATTACTAGACGTTTCTGATTCAAATCGATTAATTGTTGCTGATAACGCTCAGCAGTAGCTGCTTGATTCGCTTTCAGCAGTTTATTATACACGACGCTTCTCATCTACGAAACATCGTCTACGAAACCTTACTTCCAAGAATATTGCGTTTCGAAGTCGATGTCGATGGTTGGCCTGGACCTATCCATGACTCTTTACGCTTACGATTATCATAATATCATAATAGATCCATTTCTCGTTACTAATTACAATTTGATGCAAAAACCACTTTTTTTGTAACGAAAAAGCAATGAAGTGCAAATAGTTGAACGGCTCTGAATAGCCAATTTATGTGGAACCCATTTGCCTTCTTTTTGAATCTGTACCATTTTTGACGATCAGAAACGGTTGATTTACCAATCTATTTAATGCTAATTCTTGAAGCGTTCGAGCTGAGTTTTCGCCCAACAATGCCTGCAATTCGGCATCTTCGAATTTTTTTGATTGACCCGAACGTTCTTTATCTTTTAAATCAAAATCACCACTTTGAATCGTCGAAACCAGTATTCACATATTTTAACTGATGGAGCAGATTCAAAATAGATTTCAGAGATGAACCGGTAGGCTTCAGCAGCCGTTTCTCTCGAAGCAAGGCGGCAAAATAATAAATGGCGAAAATGCTCTTTACTATGTTCCATTTTCAATCGCACTAAAAAATGTGGTTATGTTTACAAATGCACTTGTTGAATTACTTATAGAAATGTCTAAGCTTTGAAATTACGTACCACCTTTTAAAATATCTCTAGATTTGTAGCTACAGCCACCTATAGTGAACCCCCAAAACTAACCGGAATACTTAATAAGAAAATATTATGATAGATATGAGAGAGAGAGAGAGAGAGAGAGAGAGAGAGAGAGAGAGAGAGCAACGGAAGAACGATAAATTAATTGAATCATTGGATGATTAAACATGATAAATAAGAGAGAAGTAATGATAGCTTTTGCGTATTATTATTACTTCTTTTTGTCCGCATTAACATAATTATCGTGTCGTGATATAATAATCGAATGTTCTCCGTTATCGAACAATTTCCTCTTTGAATTTATCGGACTTTCGGAATTCTCACGTTATCAATCACTTTCAGTCCATCAGCTTTCCCTTCCTAAAAGCAATTATCTCCGAGATAGTGGCTACATATTCGTGAAACACATGTTTCTCTGCTCTCCTCACTCACGGCAAACCCATTCAATTATTTCGTCAGATAAAAAGTACTTTTGTTGGTGATAATCCGTGATTAGTGTAACCCAATCCTAATTGCCCTGATGAATTACACGTGCGAGGTGCATTTAATTGCTGAATCGGCAACTTCCTCAGTTATCCGCAGAGAGGGATAGATAGAAAGAGAAAGAGAGAGAGAGAGAGAGAGAGAGAAAGAGAGACTGGAGACGAAAATAAAAACAAGAGGATATAAACGGCAGAGATCGATTTGATTTCGAAAGCCAGCGCGCGAGACAGAAATTTAATTATTTGCTTGTCCTATAGAAAATTGATGTTACTCGATTCGATCTCTTTTTTCCATTCTCCACTTTCATCCCTCCCTGCCACCCCTTTCGAGCGACCCATACATTGTCCGCTCTTTCTCCGACGACGTCCATCGATGGAGACGTCGTGTTACGGGAAATCAATGGACGGTCCATGGACGTGACACATAATGACTGACACATTGAATGACTTTATTTCGTACGAACGCGCGAACAGCAAACAGTACGAGTACGAGAGAATTTTGGGGAATATTTCATGGAAAAAAAAAAAAAAGAAAAGAAAAAAATTACGTCTGCATGGCCATCCCAACTATTATTGGATATTTCCCAACTACGCAATCGCGAGTCATCTGTTTTTCCACAGGAAATGTCGATAATTTCCTCGAAGAACAGCGTTTATTATTGCATCCCGTCCCACGTGAATTACCGCTCTATTAAATATACGTTAATTAAGTAACAAAAATAAGAAAAAAAGGGCAAGGAAAAACAAAGTTCATGCTCGTGCTCGCGCTCCATACTCGAAGGATCACGCACATCTCGGTGCTCTCTTCGAGCGCAACCTGCAATAATAACCGCGCTCTCTCGCGTCGCGTCGGTGAAATTACAAACTACCGGAAGCAGCAATTCCGAAATATCGTGTCGACACGCACGAGCCGTGCTTCTGAATGATTAACCACTGTCAACGGCGCGCGGAGAACGTCGCTCTCGAACGGGTGTCTAATTAACTTTCCTTCGGTGCTCCGCAAACGCGTCCGCCGACAAACGCGGTTAACTTCATGACGCGGCGCGCGGCGATTCTCAAAGGCCCAGCGTCCTCACCGCACATTTAGGGCTAAATGTGGCCGTCTCGACTATAACTTTCGTAGCCCGTAACTCCTGGAGAGTCCGCGAGACGGGGGGAGACTGACAGTCTTTACGTTAGATTTATGTGACTTTGAAGGGGACGAAGTGTACTTTGTCAATTGACAGAGAAGTAGGAAGGACGACAAAGGGAAATGAAGTTAACGTCTTCTTTTTAATAAAATATCCGAGCCCTTTCGGTTACTTTGTCTCGCTAATGAAGCTGTCACGGGCTCTCCCCTATGCAAGGAAGCCGTTAATACAATAATTATTAACATCGTCACAAATGTAATTTTTCCAATGAAACGATGTATCGCCACATGCGAGCATTTTAATCCGCAAAAGTCCGCGCCGCGATGGCCAATCCGGTGCAAAAGTTGCTCGCCAAGAGGACTTACGGGGAGGAGCGCAGCTGCTGCTGAAGCTCGGCGAGAGAAACAATTTCGCGAGTAACTCTGAATCGTTCGCTTTACGATCGCGTATACCATAGCGCTATACACGTTCCTCGAGGAACCCGACGCTGAGGTCTCACGCTGCCGATCGCGTAAACGCTCCTGTTTACAGTCGAAGGAGCAATAAACAGAAGCGCGATACACAAACATCGGCGACGACTCACTCGCGTGTTCGCTCGCTCGCTCGCTCGCTCGCTCGTTCGTTCGCCAGCATGCTTCTCGACTCATACGACAACGCTATTCTGGAAGCTTTGTGGAATTCCTTTCAGGGCCGCATATATAAGACGATCGTGCAGCGAGGAAAACGTGATTATATACGTGAGCTGCGCGACGACAATGTACGAAGGACAGGAGAAGGGAGAAGGGAGCGATTCGAGCGTGTCGTTGTTCCCGGGGATTCTTTAACGATCAAAAGAGACGCCGCCGTGAAATTTCGTCATTGAGAAGTCGCGCGCGAGCGAATGAAAATATAAGGCTCCACGCACGAACGGGAGACTGTGATGTGTTAATGCGTGAAAGAAACACGGAGGAGCTTAACGCGGTGTCTCGAGTGATTTTACCAAATGTTAACGTAAAGTCGATGACGCACGTACGGTCGTGAATTACGTGGGATATTTGAGCATAGGAAACAATGAACGATATCGTATGGGACGCGTATCTGGACGTGACTGGAAAATTCCAAGAGTCTTCGAAGATAAACATCTGGTCAGAAATTAGTGCCTCGTGCCTGTTTAATTTTCTCTTGATACTACTTATCAGCTCCGACCTCGAGTAAAAATTTTTTGTTCAAGCTCTCACGAAATATACGAAGCGAGAAAAACGAAATTTTATACCGGCCATTTATATTTTTATGGCCAAATGGTCGTCCTGTCCAGCTAGATTTTTATGGCTCTCAAAGACCACGTCGTGTCTACTCTTACTTTTATGGCTCAATAATTACCCTGCAACCCTAACGTTAAATATCTTCGTACGTTGATTCTTTCACTATGTTGCAAGAGAAGGAGAAGGAATGCGAGAGCGTTTATGGGACTCGCACGCACGCACGCACGCACGCACGCACGCACACCACTTTCGCATACAATTTTTGCCATATCGGATTGAGTTTCCTCGAGAGGAAAGCTCGACCGGCAAATTCCTCGAGAAATCTAACACTGTGTCCCGATGGCGACACCCCGTAGAGACTAATTTTGATCGCGCACCCCGGGGATTCAGCTGCGCACACCGAACACGAGAATCCGAGGTACCGTTCTGGGAACTCGATTTTCCACCAAACTACATTTCTCACGCGCAGGGAACTCACCGTAAATACGAGGATAATCCGCGTGCTGCCGAAGATTGTCGTTTCTTCGGAAGTTCCTCTCTCTTTCAGTAGTAGTTCACTCTGTGGCACATGTCACACGAAACCAACGACGTTGTCAAATAAACGTAGGAGGAGATCCGGAGGAGAGCCGACCACGGTTTCCTTTTCACTTTCGTCCCGTCTCACCTCCTCTGCCTCTTTTCTTCCTTTCACACGTCGAGACCTGCTCTCTCCGATTCTCGCGCGCGCTTCTCGACCGTTGTCGTCGTTAGGTTAGGTCGCCGGTTCGTCGCGCGGGTAATCGTACCTACACCGCCAGAAAATCCGGATCTGTCTCCTTCTTCGTTTCTCTTTCACCGTACCGTTCCACCGAACGCACGGCCATACATCAGCCTATCCCTTTTTCACTCACAAATCGCGTCCTTTACAATGATGCGGTGGATGCGTGAGAGCAGATACACGTTTACCGCTCCTTTTTCTCCCCTCTCTCCTCTCTCTCTCTCTCTCTCTCTCTCTCTCTCTCTCTCTCTCTCTCTCTCTCTCGAGATCACTTCCTCTTTTTCGACACTCGGGGGATCGTTGGGATAGAAAAGTATAAAAAAATCAAAAAATAACGCACAATGCACACAAGTCGGATGCGACGGACTTCGCGATTCCTCCTCTTTATCGCGAAACTCGCGGCACGTCTGTATCTTCCTTCGGAACCGTATCACGGCTCGCGTCGTTCGGCGGCGCGAGAAATCTCGAGATCGAATCGAGAGATCTCGGTCGATCGGAGACGCAACAGCGGCCTTCGCCTCGGATATCGCGATGTCGTTGTCGCGAGTGACGCGCGCGCGAAACGCCGGGACACCGTTCTCGTTGCTCCGCTCTCACTCCGTCTCTCTCTCGCACTGATCCTGCCGCCGTCCTTTGTTCCTCACGGCTCGACCGCTGCTACGTGACTGACCGCTTCGTGCGCGCTCGTGGTGCACGAGTCGCACCGAAGACGCCCGAGGAAGGATCCCGACGGTTCGTCGATCGGAAACGACCCTCGACGTGGAGAACCGAGGGAGAATCTTTCTTTGTTCAGGCGAGACCGAGCGGCACGACGACGACGACGACGACGACTCGCAACATAGTTCACTCTCGTCCTTTTCCTTCCTTCGTTCGTTCTTCCTCTCTCAGTACCTCCTCCCCCGATTCACCTTTCTCTCGTATTATTTTGATCCTTTCTTCTTGCTCTCTTTCGCGCGTATATACGCACACACGTTGCACACTCCGCACTCTTTTCTTCTTCTTCTCTTTCTCTCTCTCTCTCTCTCTCACACACACTCTTTCTCTCCCACTTTCTCTCTCTCTCTCTCTCTCTCCCCTCTCACACTTCGCGTCGACGATGCGAGCAATCGCGCGGTCTGTTGGTAACTGAGACGGACGCTCCGACGGTGGAGGCCGAGTCGAACTACGGCGTCGAGACGCCACGGTGAATGGTGGGGACGTTCGAACGACCACCGCCACCACCATCACCACTACCACCGTCGCAGCAGCCGCTGCCGCTGCCGTCGCCGCCGTCGCCGACGCCGCCGACGCCGACGCCGCCGCCGTCGTCGCCACCGTTGCCGCCACCGCCACCGCCATCACCGGTGGTGTTCTCCCCCCGTCGCCCTCCTGGACGGCGCGCAACACCCTCGTCGCACGGCATCAACCCGGCGCGACGTGGTGCGGCGCGGCGCGGTGCGACGCGACGCGGCGCCCGACCCGGCGTCATAACGGGTGGCCGGATCGAAAGAAGTCGCTGATGCTAAACGATCGATCTGTCGCACGCGTGACTACTCGGCGTTCAGGACGATAACCTTGATCTTGATCTGCAAATTTCGGGGCAGCCGCTTCGTTCATGCGCCACCGAAGCAAGCGACGTTGGAGCGCGTGCGACGTGTATCTATCGCAGTCAGGAAGATTCGCAGCGACGTAGAGACGGTGAACTGTCTCTCTCTCTCTCTCTCTCTCCCCCCCCTCTCTCTGTCTTTCTCTCTCTCTCTCTCTCCCCCCCTCTCTCTCTGTCTTTCTCTCTCTCTCTCTCGTCGCGCGACAATTTCAGGCTCACTTTTACACGCGACGATACATACGCCTGGCAATTCGAATATTCACCAGGTAGAAAAGGGCGTTCGGTGACGTCAGCGTGCGCGCAACTAGTAATAAATGTAATAGAATCGACATTACCACTTTGTCGATAAGCGCGCATCATAGGCGCATTTTGCGCGGCGCCTCGCGATAAATAATGCAGGGCTGAAGCGGCAGCTGCACAATCGAACGTAAAACTATAACCAATTACGGATGAGAGAACACAGGTTTATCCATGCCATAACCTATGATACACTGTAGTTGCCGACGGATCGATAGCACCCCTATCTATTACCACAATAAAACGTGACGCCTTATCATATTGTCTTTCAGGGCCTTTCCTCCCTTGCTTTACGACCTGTCATTCGACTCCGTTGAATTTTTGCGCGACATTGCATTTTCCGCCGGCGACCAAGGATCTCAATTATCTCCGCGATTGTTATTTCAGATTCTCCTCTTGCCTTCCCTGCTGGTCGTTCTCGGAAAAAATGCAGTTCCGCGAAAAATAGCAGTTTTACCGCGAAAAAAGCGGTAGATACGAGATGCGAGAATATCATTTAACTCGAAATCTCATTTGACTTGTAAATCGATGCACTATGCGCATAATGACTCGCACGTAAAGTATTAATTATCGCTTTAAGCGGTGTCACGTACGCCGAATCTAGAATATCGAGTGAGAATGAAAAATTGCGCTTAGGCCGCTTAGAGAATGAACGGTATGAAAATCTTGTAACAATGTGTGTTTCGTGAGCCATTTGCAGCACGACGCACAGTAGGGCCAGATGACATTCTTTGGTTGAAAATTCTCTAGAGAGCTGAATTTCCAACCGATCATCGATATCAATGGATGAGGTTGATCCTGAATAAATTCCGAAGAGATCTGTCTTGCCAAAATTAAAAGAAAATTTGTTTCTCGAATTACTAACCCCAAAAGAGGAAAAATTATGGTTAAACGCGAGAAACTTGTGAAATACTCATTATTCGACACTTATTTCTATCTAATAGCGACGCACATTGGGTCTTGCTAATGTCGACGGTGATTACTTTCTATCTCCGTATGATGGCTTATGAGCTGTGTTTTATAAGCTTTGGGCTCATGGACCGTCAGGTTAGGGTTGGATGTTTTGTTCAATGTTCCCCATCTTTTTACTTATTGGATCCATATGGCTTAATTCTTTCTTAATGTGAGCTGACATAATGAGCTTTCTATTCTGATCTAATTCTGAGTTTTCTAAAAAGTGATTATAAGTTCTGGGGTCTCCCAGAATTTAGTATCCATAGGCTCGAACCCACTGGAAGTCGAACCCAAGACACTGTACTTTAAACTTTTTTAAGACAAATCCTAAACCCATGAACCCTGAACCGATAATTTTTTCAAAATTTCGGCTAGACAGATCTCTTTGGAATTTATTCAGGATCAACCTCATCCGTTGGTGTCGATGATCGGTTGGAAATTCAGGTCTCTAGAAAATTTTGGAAAGTGTCATCTGGCCCCACTGTGCGACGGCTACACACGGACATGAGAACATGTCGTTGCGTGTCGGATGCGTGTATCCAGCAGGTAAAGATGAGGAGGGATAGCGAGGGAAACTTTACTCGGCCGTTGCGCGAGGGAATGTTTCACATCCGTGGGAAAATTTCCTGCGCGCCGCGGTTTTTCCGTTTGCGTGGAGATCACGGTTTTGCTTTCCTTTCGTCGGCCACAACGACGACGCGGCGTGTTTGCTCTGCCGTGTTGTTGCCGCACACGTCTAACGTATTGCATGATAATTCAGCAACAGCGCGTTATTCGCGGCGCTGTCTCCATCTCTCACCGCCGCTTCTTATGTCCTTCTGATCGTTCCAATATCGTCAAAATATCGTTATTCTCGTTACACCGGTAATGCAATTAGTAAACGTCGAGAGGACGATTGAGAGGGTAATGAGGTGCAAACGCGATTACGAAACGGAGCGACGCGTGAAAAATTGCAAAATCATCTCGCGCACGCGGAGCGTAACGTGGAAAACATTATTTTGCAACCGTGTGTTATATAAAGGCAACGGCAATGGAGAAGGTTTTCGCTCGAAATCAAAGGTATATATCGTTCAAGTAATATCGCAATTATTCCGTGACGAAATTCACAGGCTTGCGCAAATATCTGCCCGCGCTCACTTATTCCGTATTCGCATACGCACTCGCGTGCGCGCGCGCGCGCGTGTGCGAAATATATCATACGTGTAACATACCGCGTAATGTATCATCATACGCGGCACCCGTCGTGTCGCGAATTGTGTAGCAGATTGTTTTTTTATTAAAAACGAAGAAAGGAGCGCCTCTTGTGCACAATTTTTCAAGGGATTTCCTCGGCGTGCACGCACGAGTTTCAGCCACTCGAGCGTTATTTCGTGACGCAAGAAAATACTATCAAGGTAGGTAGATTACTGTACAGAGGGGAGAATATTTCACGTAGGCTGACACCCATGAGAAAAGAGCCGCTGAGAAAGCTGGGGGAGAGACAAACAGCCGGGTTTCTTTTCGCCGCGGATTTGAGGGGTGGGCTATCGCACGGGCGCGCACGAGGCGGGGGAGGTCAGGGTGCTGTCGTTCGAAATGAGGCGAATCAATTATACGAGGATGAAAATCCACGGGAAACATTCGCAAACGAACCGGCAGCGGCAAAGGCAGCGGAAACGACGACGAAAGGGCGATGACGAATGAAAGCTGACATTCTCTTATTCGAGGGGCATAAAATTAAAGGACTCCAAGGAGTGTCCGCGTGTAGACGGAGACAGAGGTGCCTCTGTCTCGTTACGCCGGGCTGTTTCCGATAAGACGGTTATTGTCTCATCGCGTTCACGCGGAATCGCCTTTCGCCTTATCGCGGCGGAAAAATCCGCAACGGCTGACCGCGGTATGATTTTTCGCACGGCAATCGGCCGTACTTTGCATGTCCATTTCGCCGCTACGACCGACGGAGCGCGGATCGTCGCTCGCTAATTTTGGAAGTACGCGGAGGAACATCTCACTTTCTCGCATTCTGCGCCCGTCCCGCCGCTTCGATGAATTCCGAATTCGCGTGACGGACGGACGAGCTGCGCCATTAAATCTCGTCACGCGCGCGACTTTCCAATCATTTCGCCGACTAATACCGGCGATATTGAAGACAGATGGAAATCAACTCTAATTGCTAGACGCGTTTTCCCAGGCGCAGGCCGCATCGGCCTCTTTCGGCCTGTTCGTTCGGCTGGACGAAACAACTTCGGCGCGTCTCTTTGCCGTTCCTCAGTTGTGCATCGATATTAATATCTCATTTATCGCGTACGCCTTAGATTAGGCGGGAAATGCAGCGCGCCAAGTATACCGCCGTCGGACCGGACGTTAACGTAAAACACGTACAATAGCGGCAAAGTAACGTCACAAATCGCCCGATTGGCCGGGCGTTAAATTATGACACGCGTACCAAGTTTTTACCGGTGTCGGAAGAATGGCCGTACGGCCCTGAGTCCCGCTCGAGCAGCAAGGGGCACCTGCTCCGGATCCGGAGAGACGTTACACGCAACGAACATACCCTACGTATTTTCTCTGGTCGGTTACATTCCGTTTCGTTCCGGGCAAACGGGTACAAAGGGCAGCGGTTCTCAACCCGTCGTCGCGCGAACAATCGCGCGTCGAGAGACGCGCCAGAGGGGAAAAAAGCACCGAGCGAAATTAAACAAGTGCATCTCTCCCACGTGTGAAGACACACACACGACCGCGTGTCTGGAATTAAACCCGGCGACCCGGCCGATCCTCTAAGGTTTGCTTATCTCACTCACATAACGGTGACGATGCGCCATTACTGCTCGTCCATGAGAACCGGAAGAAGCGCGCCTTAGAGATAAATGACAAAATATAGGCCTTGGAGAACTTCATTTAGACTTGGACCGTTCTCTTCACGTATCGCTGTTTATGTTTTTCTTATCGATGAGACTCAATGTGACCGCGCGAGCAAAGCTCAGAGCGATTCATGCACGGAGGGAAATGATCGGTTGAGTTGAGACGTGACAACGGACGAAGCAAGTGGTTGAAGGAGATCGAATTTCCGGCTTCTACGGACTAAATTCGGCTCTAAGAGAAACAGAAATTCCGGCCCCTTTGAGCGGAATGTCGCGCGTTTGGTTCGCTCGCACTGTCACGTTAATTCGATCTTTATTTCCTAGAAAGAGTATTCTGTACATCGAAATACGAACTTTAATGCACGGTCAGCAATTTGCTCCTCCCTACAACTCCCTACTTTCCTACAACTATACCGTTCTAGCGAACCTGATGCGAGTTCGCAGCAGTGCATCGAGAAGCATTTGTCACGCCGCTCGATTACTAACTACGCGCCGATCTAATTCCCTTTTTTTCCGAGGCTCGCTCGATATACACGTATTTCTTTTCTATCGCGCTCTAATCGGCGTGTGCTACGAACCGACGCGAGCGTCAGGAAACAGCTGACTTTTCGTGAGGGCAGCTGCTTCCTAAGTATATTTACTCGTCCACGCGCGCGAGACCCTTCAAACCTTTCCCTCCGTTGGCTTTTCTACGCTTAACGACCACGCTGTAACCAGTTATTACCTCACCTGAAATTACTTCGGCGCGTGTGACACTCAAGCTAAACGTTCGCCATCGAAAGTTCCCATTTTTACCAAGAGAGAGAGAGAGAGGGGGAGAGAGAGAGAGAGAGATCGAGAGAGAGAGAGAGAGAGAGAGCGAATGACGACGTACCGCTTTGACGGACGCGACGAGTCGTTATAAAATCGAGCTCGCTCTCCGGATCGGCCTTGTAAAATGAAAGGGACCCGGCCGCATCTCTCGTCCGTTCGTTCCGTCATTCCGTTCGTGGATCCGTCGAGAATCCGTCTGGAACCGGTGCGACATGCGCCACGCCGGAAAACAGCTGACTTGTACTTTTTCGTTGGAGGAGCAGCTGGTCGGCCAGTCCACGGGCCAAGAGCCGTCTGCGTTCCTTATACCGGGTGTGCCCCCGATCGAGCGCCGCTGCGTAAGCGCGTCCGTTCATTCTGGCATAATTATGCGCGCGAGAGATAACCGGCAGGAGCTCTCTCGCATTGCTCTCTCATCAGAAAACGTAATAACCGGCGATACACATAAATGAAACACGGTGCTTTTTTTTTACTGTAGTAAGAGGGAGAGAGAGGGAGAGAGAGAGAGAGAGAGAGAGAGTGTGATCAAAATGTCTGTTATCAAAGAGGGACGTTGTAATTGAGTCTGATGTAACTTCTTGTTATTACAGTTCACGCAGATTCAGGCACGAGATGTATAAAGAAACGTCTCCGCATACTATGATTTACGAGCGCCATAAAGGAATCGAATTAACTTCCGAGGTAAGCGGGCATAAAGACTCGAATCGCGTTACGTTAATGTCGTGAAATGAGAACGGTGCCCACGTCGCTGCCCACGTCGCGACGGCTAAGATGCGGTGATAATTAGAGGTCAATACGTCGATTAGCTCCGTCCAGTTCGCTCCGCGCGGGATTACTCGCGCGAATAAAAATCGCGGAAGCGCCGGCCGCGATGACGATTGCGGAAATTTCGCGCTTTCAACCGTCCGTTTCCGCGTAGCACTCGCCAGCCCAGTCATTTTGTCGGATTGGTTTACCGCGGAAGAAAAGAGCCAGGATTTACCGGCGATCCATTAATTCCTACGATATTACTGCGCGGGTAATGGAAAGTAGACGGGCCAGCGCGGTACAGGCGATAAAAAACTTGGACGCGCTTGTTGCCGCTGCCGTGTGTATATACATGTGTAGGTGTAGGTATAGACGTCTTTTGAATATATAGCGAAAGGAGCAGAAGCCCGCCTTCGGTACTCTATCACCCTTATCGGGAGTAACTCCGCGGATGAGTAACGTGTGGCGTACTGGACTGACACGATAACCGACTCATCCTAAAATATTTTGCGCCACGTGGAGAATCGGGCCCTATTAATCTCCCGTGACTCGTCTCCCGTGACTGATTAATGAGGGAGCACGAGCGCCGGTTGAAATTTTCGTAAAATCGCGCGAAACGGGTCGACGAAATAACGTTCGCCGATTCTTAATCAATCTCACTTTGGCACAAGGAATTTCCCCGCGGAATTCCCCTCGTCCGCGCGCCGGCGGATGAATATTACAAATTTTCCCGACCTAATCGTCACTGACGCGACGCGAACATCCCGTAGGCATTGAGACGAGCTTTCGTTTCACATGAAATTAGCGCGAGGGCCCGTTGCAAATGAATCGACGGTCAAAGGGCAGCAGCGAGCGCCGATTGAGTAGAGATGTGGCTGCACCGGGTTTGCGTCGGGTTTTCATCCAATCGCGCAATTAAAATGAGACCGGAGAATTCCGAGAAAGTGCTCCGCGCACGAGCGGGAAGATGAGGACGATTAATCTAACTCGCGTTTCGCTCCCTAGAACGTCTTCTCGTCTTCGCGACGGAGCGCGCGCGCGCGCACCCGCGCCCTCTCCCCCCCCTCCATCCCCGCGCCCCATCAGAAAGAACCGCGGGATTTATTCACGCGTAGATTCGCGAATGAATGGAGCAGAATGAACGTATCGAAGAAGTGGGACGCTGACGAATGAGCGCGAAATTACGCGGCTGAATGGCTAGAAAATTGTGCAAATCTTACGGCAATATCGGCGAATAATGGCGAATGGCTGGCTAAATTAATTACGTCGATATCAAACATGAGAGAAAATAAATTAATGACGATTGAGGGACTTTGACATTTCTTTTTTTACGTCATATGCATAAAGACAGCTTCATGAGCGGTCAAAGACTGTTATTAGTTCTAATTACGTACGTATTGATTGAATTACGTACTCTTAAATGTTAAAAAAAGAAATTAACTTGGAACAGGTAAACCTATTCAGCCAGTTCTCTTTATGTGTCTTTCAAATGTTTAAAGTTCACATGTTAAATATATACATCATATATATCAATATCGGAAAATATTATCCACTGAATTGTGTCGGACCTTACCGAAATTATATAAGCATAGAATTTAACATCCCGAGAAATATTTGAGACATAAATTCCGCCAGATAGATCAGGCGTGTGAAACAGATGGTCTAATAAAATTCAGTTTTGAAGAGTTATTAATTTATGCTTGGTTCCCGCAAAGTTCAATCCCTCAATCCCTCCCGCGCGCGCAATAAGTTTCGCCGAGCTTTTGATTCGAGCTCCGATAAAAACATGGGAACCCACGCGGTACGCGTTTTACGCCGCGTTCCGTCGTCCCGGCGAAGCTTTCCTCAAATTTAATGCGAACGGCAAACTTTAATCGTCCCAGCAACTCAACCGAAAGCTTTCCAATTTGCGACGACATAGAAAGCACGAAACTACGGTGCGATCCGCAAGAACGGGTTATCGATTATCGTTTCCTCGAGCCAACTGTTCGATTCAACATTTATAAAGAATATACTTTCTACGGGCCGCTTAAGTGATTCTATCGGCTCCCGTTCATAGTGATTAAATGCAATTGTTAACGGCGCAGTATTCTTTATCGCTTATGCGCATTTACTTTATATAAAATATACAGGGTGCGTACGATATTTGAGGACAAATTGACATTAAAACTAATTTGTTCATATTTTTTGCAAAATTTATTATAACTCCATGAAATTTTTACACGACGTTGATTGATTCCTAGACTATACAATTACTCAATAAAATCCCCATTAGCGGCAATAACGGACTCAATCCGGGGTCGGAAACGATTGCATGCCCGAATCAACTGCTCCTTGTTCATTTTGATCATTGTTGTTGTTATAGCATCCTTCAGTGATGAAATATTATTATGAGGATGTTTATTGGTCTCCCGCTCAACTACGCCCCCATACGTAATAATCCGGGGGATTAAGGTCTGGGGAGCTAGGTGGCCATAAGTTTGGAGTAATGTGGTCATAGAAATTTTCGGTCATCCAATCTTGTGTCGTCATGGCTTTGTGTGAAGGAGCAGAGTTTTGCTGGAATATGTATGGTCTGTCCCCGTGTACACTATCAATCCAGGGTTTCACAACTGTTTCTAAAACCTCGATGTAGGCGGCAGCATTCACCCGAAGCCCCTGACGAAAGAAGTGGGGTGGCATAACATGTCCTTCGTTGCTCACAACTCCTAAAACCATGACAGTTGCTGGAAACTTCGTGTGCATAACACGGGGAACCTCTGTAGGATGTGAGCATAACCACCTGTCATTTCTCCCATTAATTTTTTGGTCTTGGTGGAAATTTTTTTCGTCAGAAAAAAACCACAACATGTTAGGAACTTCAGGGTGCTTAAGCTTGTTCAAAAGACGTTTTCCTCGGATAAGTCTCTGTTCCCGAGTTTGTGCAGACATAAACTGTCCTCTGCGCATAACGTAGGACGTATAGCGGAGGTCTTCGTGGACAACTCGACGGATTAGGCTCTCAGAGACATTCAGGTCCCTCGCAATGCCCCTCATGGACTTTGAAGGGCTTCCGTCAACGATCTCTTGCACTTGTTGGACAAATTGTGTATTTTTAGTAGCGTTCCTCATGTTTTTTGCGTTTTGCAACAGTTTCTACATCGCCAGCTGATGCTTCCAATTCACGACGAACCTTATGTACGAATGATTGGGCGCAATTGAGAAAATTGGAGATTTCTAAATCGGTGTGTTTCGCGCATATAGCGACAATAACTGCATGTCTCTTCATTTCTTGCATTATTTTATAGTCCTCCATTGATGATCTGACAAGAAAAAAACAAACAAAATTCTCCAGAAATTATATTCACATATAAGAGTGTCATCAAATACTGTACGCACCCTGTATTATCGGTGTGTTGAGAAATTTTTTTTTTTATACCAAACCCTCCGCACAATCTAGATATTTTTTCGCGAAAAATATTCAACGTCAAATATATCTCACGAAGATACGCTGATCGAATTTTTTACTTTTCACTTTTACTAATCACTAAATTTTTTTTATAAAAAAGTGATCTAGTACAAAATAAGCGTAATGTTAGATAAGATTTAATGAGACATGCAGAAATCAATTTTAATAATTTCCAAGATAAATCGGTTAGACAGAGAGAGGGAGGGGGAAGAAAGCGTAAATAAATTGTTGTAAATTATATAGCTGAGTAAAATCGGCAATTAAATATTTGAAATTTAATTCAAATGGAGATATTCGTTTACAGACATATTAATAATTAATAAATATCGAAAGTTACGAATTAAGATAAACATGATGTCTAAGTGAAACTGTCACCGAAAAAGTCCGTAGTGATGTCATATTTATTTCGATATGACAACATCTAAATTGCATTGATAATTTATGATTATTCAACGGAGATTGTTAATTGTCATAATCGATGCGTCGTGTTAAACATCTTAAGAGACCATAACATGAGTTCATTAAATTTTTATAGCGAATAAACGCGTCGTTTTGGCTCAATTACTGATGAAAACGATAAGACAGACTTCTCGCGAAGGCCGCTTAATGACGCGGCGATCAAGGTCTTCTTTCACGCGATCTATGTAATCTCACTGAATAAATAAATACACGTAATTTCATTGAAGTAGCGTCACTCCAAACTCTAGATTTTCGTGTCAACTTGAAAGAATAGAAAACAAAAACTGATCATTATTCGAGTCGGTTATTCTCACGTCTAAGATCGTTGGAGCATAAATGTTGTCATTAGAGATAATTCGCGAGGAAAGATCTCCAAATTAGTCGAAGACTACATAGATGAATGCGCTGTGTTTATGCATGGTACCCATCGTAAATCCAACGATGAGTATTTTATTACACGATATATAATATTTATACACGCGTATGGGGAATACGTAAACAATAATTACGTAATAAATATAAAGCAGAATTAATATTTATAAACGCGAAGGTGAGAGAACATCTCGCGCACGGAGGTAATTGTATCATTTCGCTCAACCGTCAATTCATTATCGTTACGATCATGAAATATTTGTGCCGTACAAACAGACGACGAGCCGCCGCCGTTCCCTCACCCGGAGTAATATCCCCGCAAGGTCGTCGCGAGTCGCAGGAAGAGTCGCAAGAAAAAGAAGTAAAGGGGAAATCGAGGTGTATCGGCTGGGCGAAAGCGAAAGCGGCCGTTGCTGCTTTGACGATTTTTCTCGCCACGGAAACGTACCAAGGTTACGTGGACGCGCTTTGTTGCGTCCCGCGCCTCAGGGCCGATTTCACGCGCAACCCGTTACATTAAATCGTGTCTTTTACGTAATTCGGCCGACGAAAATCGGACGGCCGTAAATCCGCCCGTCATTTATCATCCGACCGCGATCGCGATCCAGAAGTCCAGCATACAAACGAGAAGATTCTCGCTCGCGTCCGCGCTCCTGCAATCCTCTCAAACGTTGAAGAGAACGAAAAGAAGAAGGAGAAAAAGGAAAGGCGAACTTGCTCGAATAAGTCGAGTGCTTTAATTAGACGAGACTCTTGACCGAGCAATTTATCGTACGCGCGTACGATACGAGTGAACAGTGCAAGGGCCAAAGTATGCGACATCTGTTCCCGGGACCTCCATTGTCGTTTCACTTGCTGTGTCCGGCTGAGAAGGAGAGAGAGAGAGAGAGAGAGAGAGAGAGAGAGAGAGACACACATGTTGTAACAAAATAATAATTTCCGAGACTGCGTATTTCCCTCCGACACGTCTCGACTCGTAATTTCTTCGGGCTGCACCGCAATGGCAGCAGCAGCGGCCGCGTGTTCGCTCTCTCGGCCGATTTTACGTCGAACCTCCTGCTAAGGCCGTAAAAGCGCGCGCCGGAGACGGAGTCCGAGCGTAACCGAGGCGGTTTTTTCGTGCGCTGCGCCGCCTGCGTGCACGCACGCACGCACGCACGCAGGCACACGCACGCTCGCGCACCCGCGCATATATACAAGGACGCGCGAGAAAGAGAGCGGGAACGACGACGACGACGAGAGAGAGGACCGTTTATCGTCCGCGATCCGTCACCTCCGGCGCACATGCTGAAGAAATTAAGCCTTTTTGCCGGCTTTCCTCGAGCAACCAGGCGCTCGAAATCGACGTCGCCGCCGTTGTCATCGTCGTTCTCGGGATGCAGATGGATCGGAGAAAAACGTGGAAACTGAGAACCCGATGCGCAATAGTGATATAATAATATCGCGCGCGGACCGGTCTTGGAATTTGTTATTGATAGACTGTATATCGCTTTCAGTTACTCACCAACACGGCTTCGCAGTCGTTCGCGAAACCCACCGAAACGTTGCCCGTTGAAACTTCCCTGGGACCTGACCGAATAGTTAGGCTCTGCTCGAGAAGAACTTGAAGACTACGTACCTGTAAACGAAAGATAGGCTTGAGTATTAATATATATTGCGCAGCCCAGTGTTTAGATTGAGATAGAGTATCGACGCGCTCTCGGCTCGATGACAAATATCAACACGGTCAATAATACGTATCAACATGTTTGGAAACGATTGGTTACGATTGTGTATGATCGGGACCAGGTCGGGATGCCATGATATTTCATCACTACAGATTTATTTCCTAACAAACGGCATAACGAGAATAATAATTATCGACACCTTGACTATATATATATATATATATACACACAGCAAACCGTCGACCAGACCCGTGGGATTCAAATTTCGCAGAACATGTAGCTGGAAATTCGACGAAATCTTAGGGCAAGCTGTAGAATGAGACGAAGTGAAGGAAGTATTTTGTGAAAGAAAACTGATGTGTGTGTGCGTGTGTGTGTGTGTGTGAGAAAGAGAGAGAACACCACTCGCAGACATTCGAACGAATATAATCAACGATGCGACGTCGTCACAGTGTTCACAAAAAGAGGTCTCATGCTTCAAGCCTGCGTAAATACATACAAACACAGCCATGCGCGCACACAGAGGAAGAGAGAGAGAGAGAAAGAAAGAGGAGAGAGAGAGAGGAGAGAGGAGAGAGAGGGGGGAGAGAGAGGAGGGGAGGGAGAGAGAGAGAGAGAGAGAGAGAGAGAGAGAGAGAGAGAGAGAGAGAGAGAGAGAGAGAGAGAGAGAGAGAGAGAGAGAGAGAGAGAGAGAGAGAGATGCGACATTGAACATCACCGTCGAAGAACGTATGATGCAAGAAAATGTGCGCGTGTATTCTCGCACGCCTCTAATACTCTGATTGTATGTCGTCCGAGACCACGGGCTCTTAACGAAATCTCCGAGATTATCCGCGATCGCCGAGGCTCCTGGTGCGACGAAACTCGCTGTGCTTACTTCGAGCTCGCTGTCCGTACGCAGCTGCCTTTGAAGGTTAGGTTAGATTTTCGCCGGCTCGCTCGAGACTGCCGGCACGTGCCGGGTTGCGAATGATTCGCTACTGGAAGCGACCGAGGATGAGATTCACGACGCACGTTTACACAGAGTGTCTCACGGCTTTGCGCGACACAAACACACCTCACATACGAATCCTTGATGCTTCGTGTACACGCGAAAAATTTGACTTTTCGAACAACGATCGTTCTCTCTCACCGGCGCGCTTCGTACACACCCGACGCCGCTCGCGCGTCCTCCCAGTGAGCTCGGCGACACTCGGCCAAGTTCGGCCACGCTCGGTCAGCCAGCCCGAACGGCCGTTTTGCGTAGGCGGTCATGTCTCGACGAGTCGATTCGTTTTAAACGACGAAACAACATTTGTCTGGCATGCCCGAAACTTTCGGAGGTAAGCCGAACGTGAAAATTATTCGTCCCCGTCTCCCTGAGGACTTTTGCGTTTGCGATGTGACATACTCGATAATCTTGTCAGACCTCGACTGTCGTGACAGAACCGTTACAGTTTGTCGACAAAAACACAACATGGACGCTGAATGAGACGATTCGTTGAAAAGCGGGAGGGGACAGCAACATTTGTCCGTATGCCCAAAACTTTCGGAGGTGAGGCGATGATTATGAAAGTTGTTTGTTTTAATCTCATTGAGAACTTTCTCGAAGTAATATATTCGACAATTGCTTTAGCAGACAGCTCGCGGTGGAGAGACCGTAACGCTTGGGGAAAAAGCATTAAGGACGCAAACGAGAGAAGAGATTCGTTTAATCGGGCGACCAATACTCGTCTACATGGCCGAAACCTTCAGGGTAAGCTAGATATGAAAATTATTTGTCTTAATGTCACCGGAGAGAGCATACTCGAATTGACATATTCAGCAATCTCGTCAGCAGCGTCTCGATCGCGGTAATGAGAGAGAAGGAGAGGAAAAAAGACAGAATCCATTACGATTCGTTGAAAAAAGAACAGTACGGACGCTGAACGAGACGATTCGTTCGATCGGGAGAGCAACATTCGTCCGCATAATCGAAACTTTCGGAGATGAGCTGAATATGAAAATTATCCATGAGATTCTCATTGCGCGAAGCTTTCTCGAATTGACATATTCTGTGATCATGCCAGCGGAAACTCGATTGTCGCGATACAGTTATCGTTCGCTGAGAAAGAAAAAGAGAATATACGGACGAGATGATTTGTCTGAACGAGAGAGCAATACTTGTGCACATACTTTCACAGTAATCCGATTGTGATAGTTATTCTATCTTGATCCACTTGAACTAGGAAGTTCTTGACTCAACACGTACGTTAATTCTGCGACACGAACGAACGAAGACTGAAATATAACAAATATAATACATGATACTGTGCGACAAAAATGCGCATTCTAACCACAGCTACGATTCATGGATTTTTAACGAGATATCTTGAAATGTAGAGTTCATCAGCGAAAGTGTGGGTTTCTTTAAAAAACGAATACAAAGCAGGAAGTATGTAGCTTCGTGATAGATAGCGCTTTAAACTCGTGCGAAGCGCAAAGCTCGCGGCTTTCGATCCCCGAGTTCAAGAGTCGACGCATCGGTCTCATACTTCGCATCGTTTCGCCCGCGAGATTCGCGCGTATCTACTATTCGAGCCTCGTGTTAGAATAGATTTCTGCCATTTGCATGCTGCGTCACAGTACGCTCTCGCTTGATCCTAATAATGCGAAACCGCCTGTAGCACTTACCGTGTCGACATACAACAGTGCGTTCTAACCTCCTTCATCTCATAACCTATAATTCTCACTCGGCTCGTACGAACGTAAATACCAAACAAGGTCAATTACTCCGTCGTTATGTATTTACGACGTGCTGAATGTCGCGAGTATTGACGTTTTAATTTCACGCGCGAAACTTGCACGAATTTTACGATTTTAAATTGTTACATTATTCGTGACCTCGTTAAACGAAGATATGAAACTGCGATTGTTCGTAAAACACCCGAGCATCAGCGATATCAGTCAACGAGCACGTCGTTGACGGCTCGACTCGTCGGTGACTTTCCCTCAAGGACTCCTCGTCGTCGAGGTTACATCGCCGCCAACGTCGCCGGTTTAACGCTCGATCGACCGCCTGGACTTTCCACGGTTCGTTTGAATATTACGCGCTCGCGGACATACCGGGCGAGCACTGGCAGTGGATTATGGTCGAATGCACGCGGAAAAATATTTCGCTCCGCGTGCACGCGCGCGTTCGGAATTCCGGCGCGTTTCGACGGTCTTTTACGCGCCGACGTTGCGTATCCTGGATCATACGCGGTGCAATCATGTAACGCGTTGCGGACTCAGGTATTCCGTATAAATTCAACCAGACCGGCGCATAAAGCGCTCCATCCTCCTCCCGTCGAGAATATTAACTGATACATTCTTCGCCTTTCGTTTGTAACATCACGCGTCCCAAATTCGCGACGATTTATCCGAGAATTCATCCTGTGAAAATTGAGCTCGCATGCTTCTGAGTTGACTTGACTCTGACTTGACGCGCGATCGGATAATCAGATCTCGACATTTCGGCATGGATTTGATGAAGCGTGCAGAAGCGACGGATTCCTTTCTCAGCGAGTCGCGATACTTTGAACGTCGCACAACGTGACGCGCGAGACGACGGTGCAAATGTACTTTTCGAGAATTCGCGGAAAAAAATTCGGTGGAATGTGTCCTAAGAATATTTTACGCGAACGTTCCGGATGACAATGCGGCGCGGTTTTATTGTAAAAGCTTTGGCGGTCGCATCTGAGCACTTAACCCGACCCGACCTGTTTTGAGTGTAACCAAAGGGACTTAACTTTGCATTAATTTTGCACGGGTACTCCCACTAATGCGTACGATCTTTTTTTTTTCACGGAAGTTATTTAAAGCGCTTTATGCTTCTCCTTTCATTTCGCGTTTAATCCCGACAAACACAAAGAGTCAATATCACCAACTGCTTCTCGGCTAATTAGCTTTGCACAAAGGCTACCTTTCCTTCTAACCAACTGTAGAGCAGTTGAAAAAAAAATACAAAATTCATTTAAACCGTATTAAAGATGTGCGTGCAAGTATATATGTGCGTGAGATGAAGATATATTAGTCATCATCAGGATATTAAAAATACGAGATATCCTTTTAACGTCGAGTTGCAAACCAATCGAATCGCGCAATCTTTGTGCGAGATGTATTCATATATATCGTATTTATGGGAAAAATTTTAATTTAATTTAAACGTGCATGAAAGTTTCAAAGAGCAAGTTCAGTGTATATAAGTTCAATGGAAGGCGGCACACAAGTGCGGCTGAATATTTTTTAGTCTTTTTGACGTCGCTAAATTGTTGCATAGCCGAGCGTAATATAGGTAGGCGCAACGGTATTATGATTACTCATTTTGCGGACATCACGAAGAAAGGATGTTGTATAATTACAAAAGAGAGATTGCCATTTTGCCGTAGCATGGTTGCGAGCTCGCAGAAAAAATAGACATGAAAGTGCACAGTCACACAACGTGGCGTTGCAACGAGGCGTTGGAATGCGCAAAAACGATGACGATAATCAGTAGTTACCTTACGCGTGTGTGCTGTGTGTATTCGCGGCGAAACGTAGACCGCGGTTCACGGAGGAAAACGCAAGTCTCAAGATGCACTCGCGCTCTCGATGTCGTCGCGCACAAGAAACGAGTCCCTCGTTCGGCGCACGACGAGAGTGAGAGTAATCCTGCAACTTTCGTTTATTCCCGCCTCAGCCGCGCGCCGCGCCGTGATGTCATAAATATGACCGTGTATCGTAATCCGAATTGGTATTCGCGCGGTGAAAGGTACCGGCGGAGAAAAGAGGCTGGCGTTAGGAACGATAACATCGAAAGCGTTCTCCGGGATATCGCGACGCGAAATTGCGCGGTGTTCTCTTTAATAAACGCGCGCGTCCGCGTCGACCTGAAAATCGCACGACATGAAAATTACGTAGGATTATTAAACGATATCGCGCGATTATTAAACACGCAGAATTTTATCGACAACATTTGCGCATTCGCACTTGACTATCTGCGGAAGCACGTGCGTCGCGGAAGAGCGACGCGTGCGGGTATTTAAACAAACGAAACGTCCTGTCGTTGTGGGATTGTAGATTGCGAGAAAGAAGAAACTAAATAATTACCCGTGAACAGCCGGCAAAAAAACACGCTCACAGCCTCGCGGCGGGTACAAACGTTCGGCAAACAGCAAACAAGCAACGGAAATAATGATTCCGTTGCTCGGACAAGTTTATATTTCATTTAATTAACGGACTGCTTCCGCGTTATATACGCTTTAACGACGATCGATCGGCGATCGAGGGAGAGTAACTGCGCGCTGTGTCGCCTCCTGTGAAACGATTAAAATTTAATCCGCGAAACGCCGTTGTAAAAATAGCACGCGAGTGAGCTGATCTTCGAAGATAGATACCGGGGGGATAACGAATTGATCGATCCAATCTCGTTTGCGTTAAGTGACTTCCCGTCCGGGCTTGCAGCGTCTTCAACTTGTTCTCTTTTCGTTCGGTGAACCTTAATCGAAGGCACGGCGGTTAAGTCGATGATATACTATAGACCAGCTCTTCGATCGGCGAAATAATCGACGGGTCGAAATTGCCGACGCGAGATAACCGTGTCGTTATCTCGCGTCAAAGATTTTCGAAACGGAAGTAAGCGCGAAATAAGCGCACGACATCATTAGCGATCCTCGCTCTCGCGGCGTCCAAGTCGAAAGTCTACATCCGCGAATTATGGCTTGCGCAAGGTTGCGCTAATAAATAACGGGCTCGGGCAGAAGGGGCGTGTAATTAACGACGACGCGACGTGTCGTCGTGCGATTTGCACGGCTGATAGTTTCCCGTAAAACCGGTATTCGATCGTGGCCTCTCTCGGTCGCCCTTCCTCGCGCGCGAGGATACTTTAGCACGCCGTGCGTCAGGTTGCATCCTGTCGCGCCGACGTGCAATTTCCTTCCGCACGCGACTCGCGTTTCGGTTTAACGATCCTGCCGTGGCCGCCCGCTGGAAACGGCGAGCCACGTAAGACGCCGGAAATCGTTTCGTACGTAAAATTTCCAGTCCCGGAAACCACGAGCGAGCGAGAAGCGGCCGAAACGCGGCTATATCGGCCGATCCTATCGTGAAAGCGGTTCGCGAAGGCGAACCGGCGGAATATCGCGTAACCGACGATTCG